AGCAAACTAAACCTTAGAATCTAAATTGGGAAAAATTTAAAAAAATCAGTCTCGAATCACTTTAAGCTACAATTGTATTTTTACATAAAAAGGAACTCCACTGACAAAATTTAAAAATGTATAAATATATCCTTGAATCAATAAAAATAAATAACAAAATCCCATAAATACTTAAATTTACAAAATACTTTTAAGAGAGAATAGGAACTCTACTGACTAGCAATCTTGATCAATAATAGGAAATAACAAAATTCAAGCAAATACCTAACTATTACAAATACCTTACATATTCAATTATCTTTTATGATCTCTACTGACGAGTAAACTGAATTCTTGAATGAATTTTACGAAAAAAAGGAACTCTACTGACGAACAAACTAAATTTTTAAATCGCTCTTAGGGCAAATAGAAATCTACTGACAAGCAAATTAGATCATTGAACCAATAAAAATAAATAACAAAATTTCATGAACACTTAAAATTACAAAATAATTCTAAGAGAGAAAAGGAAGGAAATAACAAAATTAATATAAATACCTCAAATTACTATCTACATTCACTAAAAAGGACTGTACTGCGAGCAAAATAAATCTTACAGAGTTCAATGCTTACTTTTTCGAAAAAAGGACTCTACTGACCAGCAAAGTGAGTTTTCGAATTGCTTCACCGAACTGCTTCAGGATCAGAATGACTTTTATAAAATAGGAACTCTACTGACCCAAATTTAAAAGTTTCGGTATTTAGTAAATTTTACAGTTTACTTTCACATGAAAAAGAACTCTACTGACAAACAAATTAAAGCTTAGAAGAATAAAAATTGAGTCTAGAATTACTTCAATTTATGTTCAATAATTTATTAAAAGGAACTCTACTAAGAAAAATAAAAAATCTATAAAGATAGCAAGAATGGACTCTACTGACGAACAAACTACTTCTCATTTACGAAAAAAGAATCCTATTGGAAACTTAATTTTGATACACATTTATGAAAAAGGGACTCTACTGACTAGCAAACTATTTTTCTGAATCATATTTATAAAAAAGGGACTCTACTGACGATCGAACTATTTTTCTGAATCACATTTATGAGAAAAGGAACTCTACTGACCATCAAACTAAATCTTTGAATGACTCTTAGGAGAGAAATAACTCTACTGGCGTATAAATAAAATTTCAATTTCTTTTACTGAAGGAAGGGACTGTACTGACGTGCTTTTCCAATTTATCTGGGAAAGAACTCTACTGGTAACCTATTCTCTGTCAAAAAATGTAGTTTATGATTAATTAAATTTACAATGTTTTTTTGAGAAAATGGAAGAAGACTTTTAGAAAGAAAGAACTCTACTGACGAGAAGAAAGAACCAACTGAATTTTTGAATGATTTTATAGGAAAAAAAGGAACTCTACTGACGATCAAACTATTTCTTTGAATTACATTTATAAGAAAAAGAACTCTACTGACTTTCAAACTATTTTCCTGAATCACATGTATAAAAAATGGACTCTACTGATCATCAAACTAAATCTCTAAATTACATTTATGAAAAAGGAACTCTAATGACCATCAAACTATTTCTTTGAATTACATTTATGAGAAAAGGGACTCTACTGACCATCAAACTAAATCTGTAAATGACTCTTAGGATAGAAAAATTCTACTGACGAGCAAAGTGAATTTTTGAACGATTTTATAAGAAAAAAAGAACTTAACTGAGGAGCAAACTGAGTTTTGAATGATTTTTCTCGAAAAAAAAACTCTACTGACGGCCAAACTGAACATTGATTTTTCAAAAAAAGGAACTCTACTAACGAGCAACTGAATTTTTGAATGATTTTTTAGGAAAAAAGAACTCTACTGACTATCAAATTGAATTTTTGAATGATTATTAAAAAAATGGAACTATACTAACGTATAAACTGAACATTTGTATGATTTTACAAGAAAAGAACTCTACTGACGGGCAACTGAATTTTTGAATGATTTTTCTCGAAAAAAAACTCTACTGACGGCCAAACTGAACATTTCATTTTTCAAAAAAAGGAACTCTACTAACGAGCAAACTAGGCATTTGAGTGTTTTTTTTTTCAAAAAAAGAAACTCTATTAACAAGCAAACTGAGCATTTGAATGATTTTACAAAAATAAGAACTCTACGGACGAGCAAACTCAATTTTTGAAACTTTTTTAAAAAAATGGAATTCTACTAACGTGCAAACTGAACATTTGTATGATTTTTTACGAAAAAAAAGAACTCTACTGATGAGCAAACTATATCCTTGAATTACATTTATAAGAAAAAGAACTCTACTAACGATCTAACTAAATCTTTTAATGACTTTTAGAAGAGAAAGAACTCTACTGACGAGCAATCTGAACTTTGAATGATTTTTTACAATAAAGAACTCTACTGATGAGCAAACTGATTTTTTGAACGATTTTTTTTACAAAAAAGAATTCAAACTTAGCAATTGAATGATTTTTCACGAAAAAAGGAACTCGACTGACGAGCAAACTTTGAATAAATAATAGTAATGCCAAGAAAGTAATTTTTTAACTGAGATATTTTTTTTCCCTAAAATAATTTTTATTTAAAGTTGTATTAAACTCATGCAATATCTTTCTAATTTCGTTTGCTCGTCAGTAGAGTTCTTTCTTTATATTCAATTTTCTTGTTAATATTATTTAATATTTTGAAACTCAATGTGCTAGAAATTTTTATAATTAAAAAAAAATATAATAGATAGAGTATAGATATAGTAGGAGTAGATATATCTATATTATATTAGTTAAGTTACATCAAAACTCCACCTAAATAAATTTATATCTGTATATATCACGATATATATCATCTATAGATATGTTATATATATTATCTATGAAAGTCTATTGCTATATCTATAAAGTCTATAAATATATATTAAAAATTATATATATATATATATATATATATATATATATATATAATTAAGATCTGAATATTTATATTTTTTAGCTATAACTTTTGTATCTTTTCATAAACTATTTTTAAACAAATACTTAACGGATTGGTTTGGTGGTATTTTGTACCAAGTCCGTAGAGTCCTTTTTTCCCTTATATTTTAACGCCTTTGTCAGTTATTTTTAGCCCGAATGAAAACTTAATTTGCTCTTCAGTAGATTTCTTTTTTTTTCTTTTATAAACTTTCTAATTTCATTCTAAAACTGGTATTGAATTTTTCTTATCAATTTGTTCTTTCTTCAGTAAAGCGTTTATTACATTACTTTTTCAATATCACTCTTTAGTTTAATAAATAGTTTTATTTGCTCGTCAGTAGAGTCCCTATTTCGGTACAAAATTCGCATCACCATTTACCAATCCAAAATACCTTTAGCAATACGCTATTGTGAATATTAAACTTTAGCCCTTATTCTAAAAATTTAAATAATTTTTTTTTTATTTAAGTCCTCATCAAATAATATATAAGTATTTATAATAATTCTTAAGTCTCATCACTAACTAATTCTAAATTCTAATTCTTCCCATTTTGTATTTTTAAAAATTCTATTGGCATATAAAATATATTATAAACATGTTGTTAGAGTTTAGGGTTATTTTTACGACAATCTGGCAACACTTGTGTGATAGTATGTGGTAATACTTGGTTATATGCGAGGGACGTTGATTTTGATATGGTAACACTG